AAAACTTGCTTGTCACGATATTAGCAAACACAAAAGCTAAGGCAGCTAACATTTAGTTGGCTTAACTTACATATTTTTTTCCGTGTTCAAGGATACCATTGTCTGGGTGCTCGTTTTGAGGCGGAGGCGTGAGCGCGCGCCACCGCGCCAGTCAGGCAGGCGAGATGATTGGAAGCCATCCGAAGCCATCACTTTTCTCTTGGGGTTGCCGCTGTTTTTTTTTCACTCGCCGCCGCACACCTCAACCCGTCTCAACCTCTGCGCCGCCGCTCTGTCTTCTTTCGATTCCGACCGTGTGTAACGCGAGCGGCTCCTTCCATTCGGCCCCAATAACCAACTCACGTAGAGCAGCAACAGCAGCAGCAGCAGCAGCAGCAGCAGCGGCAGTAGCAGCGCCAGAAACAGTGGCAGCAGCAGCGGCGGCAGTAGCAGCAGCAGCGGTGGCAGTATCAGATCAGCAGCAGCCAGCAGCGGAAGTAGCATCAGCAGCAGCAGTGGCAGAAGCAGCAGTAGCAGTAGCAGCAGCAGCAGCAGTGGTAGAAGCAGCAGCAGCGGCGGCAGTAGCAGCAGTAGTAGCAGCAGCACCAGAAGTGCTCAGAGTTTCCGTTCGCTAATGGGCCGAGTGGATCCCTTAGATCCCCATCCAGCCGGCGTGCTCTATGCTTCTGGTCGGGATCAAGTGGTGTGCGGCGCGGGAGTGAAAAGAGTCGGCGGGCGGAGGGGGAGGTTGGAAGGAATACGAGAGTGGGTGTATTTAGGGGGGGGGGGCGCTTGTTAGTGCATCGGCTTGGATATCTCTTTACGCACGCCGGGGCGTGGGGTTGGTGGCTTAGCACGGACTTCAGACTTGCGCACCGAACGCACAGCAAGAAGTGCAAGTGGTGGTGTCGGAAGGCGACCAATGTCGGGGAGGGGCAGGTCTGGGGACTGGCGTGACAGCCCAGACAGACACCCTCCAGACGCGAGGCGGCTCGGGTGACAACAGTGGTGTCGGTCGCGACCCCAGTATGGGGCGAAAGTGCGCTCGTGTTGTTGGGGGCGGGGGATAAGGGGGTCGTATCTAAACAGAGTTGCAATGTACGGTGACTCGACTGATTTTTTGTGGATTGTTGACAAATTTTTAGAGGATTTTGATCTTGATTCTTCGCAAAAAAGTTTCATTTTACGAAAATTTTCCTGTAAATTTTTCGAAAGTTCCCAAATTGTCCTCAAAGCAGCAGTGATTTTTGTTTTTGGTGGGGGTTAGGGGTGGGGGTGGGCGTGAGCAGGCAGTCAGTGAGTGACGGTCACGGGGCTCGTTGGGCTCAGGGCCGGCGGGTCGGCATTCCGATAGAGGTTAGTCCAGCAGCGACACTAATTGAAAACCAGAGACTTGCCACTGCGGGGAGGAGCAGGGCGGGCGAGGGGTGACCCAGAGGTCCAGCCAACGGGGCCAGGCAGCTCCACAAGGCGGACCGGAACACGCCGCGCAAACGAGAACCAACCACAGCAGCGGCCGCAGCGGCGAGTCTGTCTGGGCTTTTTGGTCGCTGGCATTCCCGCCTCGCCATTCCCAGCGGGGAGGCACATGCCACTCGCCTTGCCGGACCAGCCTCGATAGGTATTGCGTCTGCCGCTCGCCGCCACCTGGTTCTGGTCGCGGTGGGGGTCGAATTTAACGACATTGGGTCCTCCCCTACCCACCCCTTCTCCTGCCCAGACCAGACCCCCGGTCCCCTGCAGTGCGAATCTGGCCAGCAGGATGTCGTCGCCAAGGGCCTAATGAAAAAGAACGTCCTGCACGGACATTCACCTCTTCGCGGCCGGGGTTGTTCCCCCACCCCCCCTTTCACAGGCGTGTCACCCAGTGTGTGGAGCCTGCCAAGAGCTCCCCCCGGCGCCCTCCCCCTCTCGCGCCGGTAGTCGAGCCCACACTCTTTCGCAGAGCCGTCTCTTAGCCTTAGGCCCTCCTCGACCTCGTCGTCGACACTCACCTGCGTGGAGAGCAGCAGCGAGCGAGCCAGGTCGAAGGCCTGCGCGGCGTTGCCGGTGGTGGGGCCGTAGAGGACGAGGATGTAGGTGATGCCGAGCAGCGGGATGAGCACGAGCAGGGCCTTGGCGGCCTTGGCGGACTGCTGCTGCTCGGCGGCCAGGTGGTCGGGGCCGCGGCCGGGCCGCATCGAGCCCTCCGAGCGCAGCTTGGTGATGAGCACCTGGAAGCAGCGGAGGAGGCGGCGCAGATACAGGGTCAGTGTCGTGTCGTCTATTTGTTGTTAACTTCAAATAACAAGAAGACACTGAACAAAACTGTAGACGAAGGGGTTGAACAACGATACGACGTGAGAAAGAGCGCGTCAAATTATTTCGCCTGCTATCTCGAAAGCTGGGATCTGCTTGACATCGAGGGCGAGAAGCATCGTGTAGATAGTGATCCACCCCTCTCAGGCAGGCGGTGGTACGAAGAAGAGAGTAGCGGGATTCGGCCTTCTTAGCACGGTGCTCACCTGTGCCCGTTCAGTCTGTCTGTCTGTCTGTCTCTCTGTCTGATCTCTCCCTCTCTCCACGCCGTGGCCTTGGGGGCCCCTCGCTCGTAAACAGCAAGCCCAGGAAAGGTTATTCACAGAGATCAGGACCCCAAAATCCGCACAGGAAGATCTGACGTATATATACGGATGGAGAAGGGAGAGGCGACTCCGATCTTCCTACATTGCGACACGCGGGCGGACTAAAGACGCACAGGCAGGCTGGCAGACAGACAGACAGCAAACAACAGGCAAAAGACCTCCCCTGCGGTACAGCTCGGGGCTGGGCAGTCGGCGTAGGGTGGGGATGAGATGGGAAGGGCTGCGCAGGGGTCATGACCTAAGTCAAGGACGATAGTAAACAAAAAGACCTCTGGCCCTCGTGCGGCAGAGGTGTTGCGCGAGCGGGTGGCACCGGGGAAAGGGCTTGGTGAGCAATACGAGGAAAAGTGGAAGTTGAATAGCCAGGGAGTCAAAACCTAACAAAGTACCCTTTCATTACAGCAAGGCGAGCCCGGCGAAGCGGGCAGACGCGGGCAGACGCGGGGTATGGCGGGGCGTGGCGGG